GGAGGAAGGGTTGTTCATAAATATTCCAAGTAAATAAATATAATAGGGATGCTTTCAAGTATTTGGGGCCTGAGCCATTTTAGAGCTTTAAACTCTCATATGAACACCTTGAATTGGGCCCAGAAATGAACTGGCAACCAGTGAAGCTGTTTTAAAACAGGGATTATGTGAGATCTAAAGGGAACCTCAACCAGTAATCTGGCTGTTTCATTTTGGACCAACTGAAGTTTCTGAGTTGTTTTCAAGGGCAGTCTCACGTTGCAGGAGAATTTAGTCTGGTCTCTACTTTTAAGGAAAAGTGGCCCAATTTGCACCTCCTAGACTAATACCAATGACCATTCAGATTTCACACTTTGAGTTTTGCTCCAAAAAAATGAAGAAAAATGTGTATGAACTGAAAATGTGTAAAATTATTTTGGGGGGGGGGTTAAATACATTTAGAAATGTGTGCATTGATGAAAATGTGCATTTTCGTACAGTCTTTCGCTGATTCCTTATGCCCCTGAGGTTTGGTTGGCCTTTACCACAGACTGAGCCTTTAGGGTGGCAGGCACTGACCTGTGGAACTCCTTGCCTGATCCGCTCATTTCTAAAACTTAGGAGGAGGAAAACCAGAAACACAGTCTCATCCTTGAGTTTCTAGCAGCAATGAAGGCCTTTCAGCACATTCTAAAGCCTCAATTGCAACCAGGAATCCAGGAAACTGTAGTTTTCAATTTGTTCAAGCACAGCTTGCTCCATGGGGGAGTCGCAATTCCCAAGCTTTCTTTCTGATCCCCCTCCGCCCCAAAATTCACCATCGCCATTGGAGTTCAGAAATGGCATATTTACAATGCTGCTTGCATACTTCTCCCTGGAAGGAGTGAAGGCAAGAAGATAGATATCAAGAGTTCCACTTTCCTGCTTCTCTTAAGAGATGGTGACAAACTTTCTCTGGACTGTTAACTTATTAGGACATGGCAGGACTGGGGGAAAAGTTGTCAGTTTCACCTATTTAGAATCCACTTTTTTGATTTGCCTCCCTCTCTCACACTTTGCATGCATCGTTTAAAATGGTTCGTTTGTTTTTTCCCAAAGAAAAGACAATGACAGAAAGGAATGGCAGTTTTTCTTGCATCCTCTAACCTCCAGGGAGTCTGTGAAGTTGTCTACCCTACGAAAGCTACCAAATCATAAGGAAGCAAAGCACTCTGCCAGGAATCAGCTAACTGAAGGAAACAGTAAAGCCATCTGGAAATATAGCAATACAGAAGCCAGAATTAGATGCCGTGGGAGGTGCGTGGTTGAGAATTCCCTGTCTCTACTCCACTGCATTGGTTGTCGGTCGGGAAACTGACCGTACAATGGCAATAGCCCCCTATACTCTGTAATACTAGGTCTGGAGTGGGGATGTGGATTGGGTGGTGGGCAAGATTCAGTGCCGGATTTACGTATAAGCTAAACAAGCTAAAGCTTAGGGCCACACTCTCTTGGGGGCCCCCAAAAAGATTAAAGGAGAGAAAAAAATGGATGTGCATTTCCAAAATATAAGATAAAAAACAAATAAAATAAAACCTACATACAGCAACGGTGGCAAATGGCTTTAGATACCTATTAGGTCCATAAATTACTATATAGCACATAGTCAACACAAAAAACAGTGACAATTTGTTGTTAACAAAGGACAGCTGGACATATAAAGGCCCCTATCACCTTCAGTAGCTTAGGGCCTCATCAAACCTAAATCCGGCCCTGCCAAGATTGACAGGTCACTGACAGGTGGGGTGCCCCACAAGTCCCCCCCCACACACACAGAGTTTGAAATGAAATCATGTAGGCCAAGGACCAGCCAACACAAGGCACTATGCAAGGCCCCCACGTGCAAAATAAAATGTATCGCTTCCTAATTACAGTTTCAACCCCTGGGTGGAAATGGATCATCTCACCAACACAGAATATTAGGAACAAACCTTCAAATATCTGGAAGTCTGATTCATTGCTAGAGCTCACTAGGTGGTTTTTGATAAACCACTGTTCTCTCACTCTCTCAGATGCAGAATGGATTCCCATCCCGCTGGTTCACCATAGGCTGGAGTAAGGATGATTGCGAGGATATTGATAAAAGTGCTCCAACTGCTCCCAAATACCATCTTAATGTTTTACATATGAACCGCTAGCTGCTACAGTCACTCAGAGGCTTCCCACCGTATAGAGCATTTTTCATGGAGTTGTGCATGAACTGGCCCACAGATTAACACACACACACCCCAGCTGCTCACCTTCAAGAAGGTTTTAATAAAAGGTGAAGCTGCTTATTAAATTCCCAGCTGGAGACAACCTTGCCTCTGGAACTACATTTTAATGCAAGTGTGCACCCTAGTGGCAGTGCAGGGACCAGACCACATCATGGAGGAATTATTGTATACATTCTAGGGTCTGCCTCAGGGCACGTGGTCCAGTCTCTGCCTAGGATCCCCTGGCATTTGTTACATCTGCTGCCTCGGGGAGCAGGAGCAGTAACGAAGAGCCTGAGTGGAAGAGTGCTTTTTAAATAATTGGCAGCAAGGACTCCAGCCGTCGAGCTAATATTGAGCAGTCATGTGTGGTGGCTTTAGGATGAAATCCCAGCTTGAACCCTGGATTGACACACGGGCTCTGAATAATCTGCGCAAAGCAGGCTTTTCTCTTGCTGGTAATGGGCGTCCTTGCATCAAGCTTCCAATCGTTGTTTCTTTAGCCAGTTATTTTATTGTATTTTATTTTTTAAAAAACAAACCAGACAGACGTTAAACACAATTTTAACCAGATAGCTTTTAGCAAGTGAAATCGATTCAAATGTTATGATGAGCACTCCTGACCCACAAGCATTCCTGAAAAGGAAGGTTTGACTTCCTGCAAGAATACTATGAAAGGAGGAAACAAGACTAGCTGCCCTCAGGATAACATGAAGGGGCCTGCAGCAGGATCAGGCCAGCATAATATTCTCACAGTGGACAACCAGATGCCTCTGGGAAGTCCACAAGCAAGAAATGAGTGCAACAGCACTCATGCTAATTGTGATTCCTAGCAACTGTTGCTCAGAGGCATTTTGTCTCCAATGTTGGCGGTAGGGCATAGCCATTGTGGCTAGTAGCCACTCATAACATGATCTGCCAGGAGTATTACATCTTATGAGAGAGGTAGAAAAATGTCATTCTCCATCTTTACTAACACAAGACAACATAAACTTCAAAAGAACATCAAAAGATGTTTAATTCAATAAATACATTGCCCTAACAGGTTGTCATCCTACCAATAACCCTAAGGTATCTTCTGAAGGCATCACCTGAGTCCATCACCTTCCTGAAGCTAAACATGTCTGAGCCTGGGTCTGGATGAGTGACCACCTGTATGTCACCTTCAGTTCCATGATGAAAGAAAAGGGGGTTATAAGTAGGACCTTCCGAGTCTGGTGATGGGCTATCAAGAGTTAAGATTAGCCGAAGTCCTCCAGCTTGTGGAAATTTGAAGTGGTATTATTTGCTGTCTGGCAGGCAATGGGTTTGGGATGGACTTGTTGCCAAAGGGTCCAAAAGCATTTTCTTGCTGGAGCATCCCGACTGGAAAGGAATCATCAACAAAATTTGGCGAAAAGGGGCAAGAAAGAGACTTGAGGGCCCCTCGGATGCAGGGCAACTGGTTAAGGGCAGGATTGCCGAGGTTAAAAAGGACCTTGATCCAGCGGGTCCAGGGAGGGAGGGTTGGAAGCTGACTGGACTGAATTTGACTTATTATTTTCTTTTTACTTTTTAATATTGAGATGCTTACAAATGTTTGAAGGATGTTGAATGAAATTACATGACTTAAGTAGGATTGGTAAATGATTCGTAAAAGGTAATGATGCAAGAATTTGGTAAATGTGAATATAAGCTTATGGTTTAAAGTTTTTATATGACAAAAAATAGAATAAGGAAACGTAATGACAGATTGTTATGAAAAAACAGAAAGGATTGCTGTAAAATTAAAATTAGAAACAAAAGGGGAGGAGGAGGAAGTCTAGAAGGAAGTCAATAAGTTGCTTAAGGACTTTATATTTTTGTTTTCTGTTTCTTTTTTTCTTTTTTTCTTTTAACGGCTGGGTTTTCTTTTCTTTTTTGTTTATGCACTAATTTTGTTTTTTGTATCCTTAAATTTTTTTTTTTTTTGGAAATTTTTGTTGTTATTTTTTGAAAATTCAATAAATATCAATTATAAAAAAAAAAAAGGAATATAGGATTGCATTGTGTTTATTTGGAGAAATTATGCCCTACTTAAAATTACTAGGTCCCCCCCTGAAAATGCAACAGATTTTTCTTGTTTTTATTGAGATAATTGAATGATGCCTTCCTCCCCTCCACCCCCAATGTCAAAATGAGCTCCCGAGAGCCTGTTGGCTAGCAGAAGCTAACCCTTCCTGAAAGCCCATTGGGCCAGGGATTGAGAGTCCTGTTGTTATCTTGGAAGGTATGTCACTGAGGAGGCAGGGGAGGGAGGTGTAGGTAGAGAAGTAGTAGTATGATGATCGTCTGGAGAAACATGGCACTGAGAATTATTTTCAAAGTGCTGCCCTTAAGACAGGATTGCAACTGAAACCTCACCTGAGTTTTCCATTAGCACACACCCTAACACATTAGCACACAGTTCCTTGGGGCTTAATGCGCTCTGCTGCCTTTTAAGAGGATGCAAATGAGGTTGTTGAGAGGCTATTAATGATAGGAGAATGAAGTGAAGAGACTACGGTGCTCAGTCTTTTTCTTCTCATTTATTGGAAGCTTTAAACCTCACTTCATTCATGGCTCTTTAACTGCACTGGGAGTGCAGACAGTTGCGCCATCTAGAGTCAATCTATTATGACTCCTCCTGTTAAATCCAGGCCAGTGATCTTTGCTGCTGTCTTGGCCACCCTAGAGTCTCTTCCAGAACAATCACAGAATCATAGAACTGTAGAGTTGGAAGGGACCATGAGGGTCATCTAATCCAACCCCTGCAATGCAGGAATCTTTTGCTCAACGTGGCGCTCAGACCCATGACCCTGAGATTCAGAGTTTCATGCTCCACCAATTGAGCTATCCCACATGCTTTCAATGGGACTTCCTCCCAGGTAAGCATGTCTAGGGCTGCCACTTTTAACCAACTCCATCCATTCTTTCTTGCTGCCCTCCAGACCTGGAAGGTCTTCCTAGAGCATGATTTCATCTTCCAGACCAAACTTTTTCACAAGGCTCAGACTTATTCTATGAGAACAAGCTAATGTTTGCATAAATACTATCCCTGGCTTCCAGCCTACATTCTACCTCCACTGCCAAAGGCAGAATGCCTCTGAATAATAGTTTCTAGGATTCACAAGTAGGGAGAGTTGCTGTTGTGCTCAAGTTCTGCTTGCAAGCTTCTCATTGGAACATCTGGTTGGCCACTATGCTGATGGGTCTTTAGATGAACCAGCCCAATTCTGCATTTTCTGAACTGCAGTTCTGAGTAGGAAAGAGCCTGCCACCTTCAACCTCAGCGTGTCTATCCCTGCCCACTCAGTATCTGACTTTCCCATGTTGATGGTAGAAGGTTTGAAGGGGGAATTCTACCCATGTTTTCATGAACCCAAGCTCAAGACCCCATGCAAATGGAATCATAGGAACATAATAATGTAATAAGAATCTGCTGGATCAGGACAATGGCCCTCTCTCTTTCGGTTGCCAGTAGTTACGTCTCTCCTAGGAAGCCAGGGAAACTGCACCGTCCCACCCCACCGACTGCTGCTTCTTATATAGTCTCTCAGCTTCATCGGCATTGTCTCACTCTGGCTTTTCTGACTTGCTCACACTACGCTGTGACAAACAGACAGAATATACATGTAGAGTCCCAACAGTTTGTGAGGGGATGAAAAAATATACAGGCTATCACCTTTGAGGGGTGGGAGGTGCTCTACACTGGATTGATAAAAGAGCAGAGATTCAGTAACATGGGGAGGGTCTGATGGGGCAGTGGAGGAGCAAAAGCAGAGAAAAGAGAGGTAAGTGAATCAGGATGGGAGGGCAGCAGAAAATATAGTTGTCACATAAAGAGAGAACAGGGACAGGAGGTGGAAACTCCCCCCCCCCCAGAACTAAAGCAATGCTGACCAGCTTATGCAGAAATTTGGAAACAGATAAGTAAATGTCCATATACTGACTCCCACACCCATGGTTTCCTTCATCCTCTTCAATTTAAAATGATTCAAGCTATGGATTTTTGTTCTTTACATCCCCCAGGAGATCTTTGGGCTGCCTAATTGAGATCACTACTCAGCTCTTTATCCTGACGTTCATCTTCAAATGATTCCCGGCACTTCATCTTAGTCTGTAATTCGCCGTACGATATGCGTGGCCCACTCAATACGCAAGCAAGGCGTGTTGGCCCATCAGCCATGCCACATAATTAGCCACTTCAAAAGACAACCACCGGAGAGGGATGCCTTCATTACGGCACAGAGCCGGGGATGGCTCTAACAAAGGAGAATCATTTCCCGTCTAAAGGGAAAGAACCACTGGCTGTCACTGACACACACACCCCACTGCTAGTTTTAACACCCATCATCATGTCTCCACAGCTGGAGGCCGTAATGTTTCTAGAGACCAATTGTTGGAGGTCACAGGAGGGGAGAGTGCGCTTGTGCTTGGGGCCTGCTTGCTGGTCTCCTATCGGTATGTCTGGCCACTGGGACAACAGGACGTTGGACTAGATGGGCCATTGACCTGATCCATCAGGCTCTTACATTTTTATGGAGTTTGGGTAATCAGAATAGTTGTGTACACCTTTCTGTTTGGTCAACTCATCCTTAGTGTCAAAACTGTACACACACAAACAAAAACAAAACTCAGTCACTGCTCTTGTGAGGACACTGCTGTTGGGACATCCAGTTGTTTCTTCAATTTGCTTATAGGATGTAAGAATGTAAGATCCCTGCTGGAGCAGCAAAAAGGCTCCACAACCTTTGGCTAACCATACTAAGGAGGAAGTCCCCTTGAACTCAATGGGATTTCTTCTGAGTAAACAGTAGGTATGTGCACTGGATTCAGTCCAAACCTGGATCCTGAACTAATTCAGACAGTTCTGGGTGGATCAATTCTTTGGCCAAATCAGGTTGAAATGAGACAGCTCAGATTGCTCCTAATTAAAGCCCAATTAAAGCACTTGTCCCCAAATTGATTCAGGGTCCACATATGGGCTGGGTTGGCTCTGGATCAGCTTGTGTTGGGGCTGATCCAAAGTTCAGATTGGGCTCTGGATCATATTTGGGGGAAGACACACAGAGCCCTAGTAAACAGCCATGGGATTGTGATGTGAAACTCACGTTCTTCTCAAACTGATAGTCTTCTTTCCCCCTGCATTCATCTTCTGTTGTCTCTTTCAAGCCTTTCAAATTAGAAGTCTGAGAGCAGGGGCTGTGCCTTTTATTTTGTTTTGCATTCATTTAGATTTTCGTTGAATAACCATTCATGCCACTTCTCTGTGGTTCAAAATCGCTGACAAAACACAGAAATGCCATCCACTTAGCTTTCATTGGGGGCAGATTTTCTCTTCCCTCCCACCTAGAGACAGGGCATGTGGGGAGGGAATGGACTGCTTGCCAGAAGGGAGGGGGAAATGGCAGGGAGGTTGGCACAGTGCAGACACACTGGCAGGAGCACCAGATCAGCCCTGCCAGTGCATTTGCACCATTCCTACCTTCCCACCATCTCACCCCTCCTGGCATGCAACAGCAACCCACCTGCTGGGAAGTTAGCATGGTGTCCCCACCCCAAACAGCGAGCCACTTCTACTTTGTTTTGAACAATGTATCAGTCCAGAAAGAATGCCTCAAGTGGCATCATTTAAATATGCAGACAGAATGAAATATTTGAGCATCCCTAGTCTTCCTATTAGTAGGGCTTTGGGGGCTAATAATGGCATGAACAACCTTCCTCATCACAACTCCATACCACCCCCCACCCCCCACAGAATGCTGGAAGGTAAATTTTGGGGAAAGGAAAGGAACAGCTTAGAATGGGCAAAACTGTTTTAGAAGCTGAGCTAAAATCCAAAAGGGTGTATGTAAAAATGTTGGAATGTAAAAAAGCTTCTTCTTGCTGGACGGGTGGGTGGGTGGGTGCTTGTTTGTTTTTGAATCCCACAATTGCAAAACTTGGCAGCATCCCTCCTTAGCATATCTCCACAGTTCTCTGTTCTCCCACTGCAGACCTGGTTTTGTGCCTTATTGTGAACTTGGCACAGCAGCAGTGCCAGCTCTAATGTCACCACAATACCTTCTGCTCCTGTGTCGCTGCTCACTTAGGATCTTAAACAGCTTTGCAAACAGAAAATAATTAAGCCCACCACAGCCTCCCTAAAGAGCATCTGATTCCACACATTCAACAGATGCATAAACAAAGGCCCAGAGAGCTCGATAGTTTCTTTCTTCCCACTCCGCTCCTCACAATCCCAGGTTGCTTTTCATTTTTACATGCAAAACACTTTGAAAAACATTAGTCCTCGGTGCATTATTTATCAATTTAATTCAAGGACAAAGCTAGGTCATTCACCAGAGCACTCCAAAGTCAGAAATTATCTGGGCTTTTTTGTTTTTGCTTAGTCCAAGTAGTGGCGGAGCTAGCTGCTCCTGCATCTGGAGCAGTGAGGTGGGGCGATCCGTTCACGGGGTGGGGCAATCTGCCCACAGGCGGGGCAATCTGCCCATGGGGCGATCGGTGCAACGGCGTGATCCTGGGGAAGGGGGTCCGATCGTGATGAGGGGGTGCGATCCTCCTGACAGGAGGCCAATCGCAGCGAGGCGGCGCAATCCTTCCGGCAGGGGGCCGATCACGGTGAGGTGGTGCAATCCTCCTGGCAGGGGTGTGGTTGCACGCAGTGTGGTGGCACGATTCTCCCAGCGGGGGGCCAATTGCAGTGAGGTGGCGCAATCCGCCGGGAGGGATTTTGTCACCCTTCTCTGGGATGGCACCCGGGGTGGACCACCCCCACCGCACCCCCCTTCATACGCCCCTGAGTCCAAGAGTGCAAACCTATTTGTGATACATTCATACCAAGCCTGGCAAACATGGGAGTCAAGACTGTACACTAGGAATGGGGAAGTTCAGCCACATGGGCCAACTGTGACCCTCCAGGCCTCTCAGTCTGGCTCTTAGGCCACACAATCTCCCAAAATGCACCTCTTTTGCACCCTCCATGAGTGCTTTTGCCTGGCTAGAATGTGTCTTTGAACTCCGATCATGCTTCTTGGTTCCCTGAATGGGGAATAGAGAGCAATGTGTGAAAGTGAAGAAACTAGCCTACTGCACAAAGGTAAAATTCACATTTATTGCTCTACCCATTTTTGCCTCTGGCCCTGCTCACTGTTGGGATGTGCCCCCTGGAAGGTTGCCCAGCAGCCCAGGATTCCCCCTTCACTGTATTGTTCACTGGGGACTTTTAGGTGTGAAGGGGATGGCAGCTGCTCGCTGTCCAGGTGGAGTGTCTGTACTTGTGGAAGAAATGTTGCCACCACAGCAAAACTGGTGGTCATTGTCTGAAAAGGTGAGCTGGGTGAGAACAACTTTTGCCAGTTGAAAGTTTCCCTAGGTTCAGCCCTGGATAATTGTGACACAATTGTCAGGGCCGGCCCTACCATTAGGCACAGTAAGGCAACTACTCCCATAGTTGTTCCTCCAGAGTCTACTGGCCACACCCATTGGGTGGAAGACAGGGCTGTGTGTGCCACATTCTCTGTCTTGCTCTCTGTATCCAGCCTCCTGCTCTCAGGACCCTTTCCTGCTGGCAGTATTGAAGGAAGATTCAACTGTCAGTCACCTTCTGAAATGGAATTGTGTGTGTGTGTGTATGTGCATCTTGTCCTTTGCTTCAGGCGACACCCAAGAATCATTGGGCAGTTCATCTTTCAAACAACGTCTACAATTTAATGAAGGGCAGAATGGAACATTTGAAAAGTGAGGGATGGGGGTTTTTTAGCCAACAGAATATATAACATAATTTTGCTTCCTGTTTGGCTGGGCGCTAGTATCGGCTCTAGCCCTGAGACTAGTAGGATTAAAACTAAGCTTGA